ATCTATAAAGATTTATAATAAGGGTATTCTTACCTTACCCCTAAGACCAAGCAGACACCCTCAGAGATGAGCATAGTTTACCAGATAAAGGCTACGTGTCTCAGACAGACAAAAACCCCAAAAGAGCACGTTCTTTGTCTTAACACAGATCATATATACTTTCCCACCTGCCTACCTCCATTTCTATCCAAACCACAATCTCGCCCTTTGTTGTTAGTTATAAAGAAATTATATTCAAACTTAATACAAAATTCAAGAAACACAAACTATGACTACTTACAAGAATCCCCTTGAAATACCTTCAAAACCATTAAAAAACTTGCATGAAAATGTATGTTTAGTGTTTACTAAGTGGGAAGAGTGAGACCAGATAAAAGAGTTCCCCATGTTCAAGCTTGAGTTCCTGTTTCTCGATAAGCAATGACTCGTGATCTTTATGTGTAAACAGTACATTGTTAGCAATAACAAAATGAAGCTTGTTGTAGACTCTCATCTCGTTAACAAGACCTACTGTGTGACTCTAACTTAGTGTTTGAGTCTGAATCAATAATACATTTTATTTGGAACAGCTTTCAGAACAACATCTCATGTTCTGTTAATGGTTGGTCACAAGAGATGGATATAGTCTATTATCCAGAGACTGGGTTATATCTGAGTTCAATTTGATGTCAGTAGGTTTTTCAAATGTTTTGTGTAGATAATAACTTAAATAGGAAAAGGCATAGGGCACTCCAGTGTTGGTGACTTTTCTGAACAGCAAGCCCACAGATTGTGTTGGGTTGGTGGTATGAGGGGTTAAGGCATGTGTTGTGTAATGAATCATTTTAACTCAACTTGACTGAACTCCATTTCAGTCAGACAAATCACGTTTGAAATGTTTATTAACAGCAGCTTATAGTTTCAGTTTGGATCCAGCTTCACATCGAGCCATTCCCCTTGAGCTTCAAGGCTTTTCCCTGAATATATGATCTTGTTAGACTGCTATGTGTCGGCCTGGGACCGGCCTCAACGAGCCCACGTTCAAGCAAAAATGAGTTTATAATCCTGCCCCGTAACCACCTGATATACCATTATAGTACAGCTTTAAAGCTTTAACAATGTATTCACACATTAAGAGTACCAGGGGAATAGTGGTCGGGGGGTATGAGCCTATTCTTCAAGATGGAGGGTGTAAATGCAAGCCTTTTCCAGGTTAAGGGTATTCTTACCTTACCCCTAAGACCAAGCAGACACCCTCAGAGATGAGCATAGTTTACCAGATAAAGGCTAAGTGTCTCAGACAGACAAAAACCCCAAAAGAGCACGTTCTTTGTCTTAACACAGATCATATATACTTTCCCACCTGCCTACCTCCATTTCTATCTAAACCACAATCTCGCCCTTTGTTGTTAGTTATAAAGAAATTATATTCAAACTTAATACAAAATTCAAGAAACACAAACTAAGTACTTACCAGAATCCCCTTGAAATACCTTCAAAACCATTAAAAAACTTGCATGAAAATGTATGTTTAGTGTTTACTAAGTGGGAAGAGTGAGACCAGATAAAAGAGTTCCTCATGTTCAAGCTTGAGTTCCTGTTTCTTGATAAGCAATGACTCGTGATCTTTATGTGTAAACAGTACATTGTTAGCAATAACAAAATGAAGCTTGTTGTAGACTCTCATCTCGTTAACAAGACCTACTGTGTGACTTTAACTTAGTGTTTGAGTCTGAATCAATAATACATTTTATTTGGAACAGCTTTCAGAACTACATCTCATTTTCTGTTAATGGTTGGTCACAAGAGATGGATATAGTCTATTATCCAGAGACTGGGTTATATCTGAGTTCAATTTGATGTCAGTAGGTTTTTCAAATGTTTTGTGTAGATAATAACTTAAATAGGAAAAGGCATAAGACACTCCAGTGTTGGTGACTTTTCTAAACAGCAAGCTCACAGATTGTGTTGGGTTGGTGGTATGAGGGGTTAAGGCATGTGTCGTGTAATGAATCATTTCAACTCAACTTGACTGAACTCCATTTCAGTCAGACAAATCACGTTTGAAATGTTTATTAACAGCAGCTTATAGTTTCAGTTTGGATCCAGCTTCACATCGAGCCATTCCCCTTGAGCTCCAAGGCTTTTCTATGAATATATTATCTAGTGAGATACCTTCTAGACCAGAAACTGGTCAATTATTTTCTCTTTAATAATGAGAATGACAATTTGTGATCTGTATTTACTAAGTGGGAAGAGTGAGACAGGTTCAACATTTCACCATTTTAAAAGTTGAGTTCCTTTTTCTTGATAAGCAATGACTCGGTGGTAAACATTGTGTGCAATAACAAAATGAAGCTTGTTGTTGATTCTAAGACACTCCAGTGTTGGTGACTTTTCTGAACAGCAAGCACACAGATTGTGTTGGGTTGGTGGTATGAGGGGTTAAGGCTTGAGTCGTGTAAATGTATCATTACACTTTGACTTGATTGAATGTTGTAAATGTTTATTAACATCAGCTTATAATTGCAGTTTGGCGTCTAGGATCCAGCCTCACATCGAGCCATTCCCCTTGAGCTCCAAGGCTTTTCCGTGAATATATGATCTTGTTAGACTGCTATGTGTCGGCCTGGGACCGGCCTCAACGAGCCCACGTTCAAGCAAAAATGAGTTTATAACCCTGCCCCGTAACCACCTGATATACCATTATAGTACAGCTTTAAAGCTTTAACAATGTATTCACACATTAAGAGTACCAGGGGAATAGGGGTCGGGGGGTATGAGCCTATTCTTCAAGATGGAGGGTGTAAATGCAAGCCTTTTCCAGGTTAAGGGTATTCTTACCTTACCCCTAAGACCAAGCAGACACCCTCAGAGATGAGCATAGTTTACCAGATAAGGGCTACGTGTCTCAGACAGACAAAAACCCCAAAAGAGCAGGTTCTTTGTCTTAACACAGATCATATATACTTTCCCACCTGCCTACCTCCATTTCTATCCAAACCACAATCTCGCCCTTTGTTGTTAGTTATAAAGAAATTATATTCAAACTTAATACAAAATTCAAGAAACACAAACTAAGTACTTACCAGAATCCCCTTGAAATACCTTCAAAACCATTAAAAAACTTGCATGAAAATGTATGTTTAGTGTTTACTAAGTGGGAAGAGTGAGAACAGATAAAAGAGTTCCTCATGTTCAAGCTTGAGTTCCTGTTTCTTGATAAGCAATGACTCGTGATCTTTATGTGTAAACAGTACATTGTTAGCAATAACAAAATGAAGCTTGTTGTAGACTCTCATCTCGTTAACAAGACCTACTGTGTGACTTTAACTTAGTGTTTGAGTCTGAATCAATAATACATTTTATTTGGAACAGCTTTCAGAACAACATCTCATGTTCTGTTAATGGTTGGTCACAAGAGATGGATATAGTCTATTATCCAGAGACTGGGTTATATCTGAGTTCAATTTGATGTCAGTAGGTTTTTCAAATGTTTTGTGTAGATAATAACTTAAATAGGAAAAGGCATAGGACACTCCAGTGTTGGTGACTTTTCTGAACAGCAAGCACACAGATTGTGTTGGGTTGGTGGTATGAGGGGTTAATGCATGTGTCGTGTAATGAATCATTTTAACTCAACTTGACTGAACTCCATTTCAGTCAGACAAATCACGTTTCAAATGTTTATTAACAGCAGTTTATATTCAGTTTGGATCCAGCTTCACATCGAGCCATTCCCCTTGAGCTCCAAGGCTTTTCCGTGAATATATTATCTAGTGAGACTGCTATGTGTCGACCTGGGACCGGCCACAACGAGCACCTGGGCTTTGAGGGGAATATACTATTTATTTTGGGGTGGGAATCAGGAGGCTCCCCACGATATGATACTATCGGGATACTTAAGCCACGATACGATAGTATTGCGATTCTACGATATGCTAAGTATTGCGATACGATATATTGCGATATTATAAAACGGACAAGTCAAATCAAGCAATCTGATTGGTTCTTAGCCGTGATATACTGAGCGTATACCACGGGTAGAATTGTAGTTACTTTTCACAACAAGTCAGTATCCCTCCGCGTCTGAGAAAAACTGTATACAGTTGGGCTGAAAAGCAAACTGCATGCAGTTTGCTTTTCAAACTGGGACAATAAAACAGCGGAGAAGTAACGGGGCAGAAACCCTATCGAAGCAGTTCCTACCGTTGCTACATAGTTCAAACAATAACAACGGACTATTTTTGATCTGCCTGTCGGGTATTCTTTTACCCATAATGACCGCCTCGCTGCACATTATCCCTTACTTAACTTCGACCTCCGGGGTAAAAAAGTATCACCATTCAAAAGCTTTCTGATGCGGGTCTTGAAACAAAGCAGAGAAATGATGACCGTTAGTGGCCACAGGTGCGAAAGCTCTCTCCAGAGCTACTGGAAGCCGAATCTCGGGGACCGGAGAAAGTGGAGCAATATTCTCGCCACGCAAAGCAACAGCCTAGAACAACTTCAACCTATACAAGTAACCACGTAAGCCATGCTACTGATGCTGGACAGTTTTTCAGTGGGTGCACAATAAACGGCAACATACACATTAATGTAAATAAATAGCCAAATAATGGATCAACGCTCTCTGTCTAATATGTTCGCTAGCTGTTAGTGTTGTTGCATAGCAACCACCTCGCACTATGTTTCGTGCAGAAGGCAACGGAGGGACTATTTTATTTTGAACATCATTATTTACTAATAAAAACTATTTAAATTAGAGTGTGTATTTTTCTTTCCTATTGCCACACTTGGTAACCGTTTTATAAAAGCAATAGCTCACTTCAGGCCGTGGTATATGCTCATTATATCACGGCTAAGGGGGTTGTCGACCCTCCGCTTCGCGTCGGGCCGAACCACGCCCCTTAGCGGTGATATAATGAGCATATTATAGAGGCTTTGCATATGACGTCACGGGTAACGTGACGTCAGCCCAACGGCCATACTGGAGTACCAAAACAGACACCGTAATACGTCAGAGCTGTTTTTTTACCGGACATATAATGGTTAACTTCTGTGCCATTGTTGGCTGCGGCAACAGAGGTGATCGAAACAGGGGGCCGAAGTCATTTTACAGGCTGCCGGCGGTTATAACACACCAGGGTGAAGCAACACATGAACTTTCAAAGCGTCGCCGGGAAAAATGGCTCAATAGGATCGGACGGGAGGATCTCAAACCATCCAACCACAACTATACTCGCGTTTGTGGGGATCATTTCACGTCAGGTAAGTGTCGGGTTTTACATACAAACATTCAAAATGAACATATAACCCACGTACTAAGACATGTATCTTAACAAGGAAATAGGAATCCTGGAGTCTGTGTCATCGATCGACATATCAGATTGTGGAGTATCTCCAAAGTAAAGTCATCCCTTGCCTCAGGTCATCTTCACACCAGTCTGTCAGTCCCCTGCAGTGCTTCGTTTAACTGTAATTTAAAGTAATTCCTCCCCCTATTGGCCATTTGATTATATGTAAACAGTAAAGGCTGTACAGTCCCTGGCACCTTTTCAGAGGCTTTTGGTTTCCACAATTATTTGTCATGTTCCTATGTCTTTAAATATATCTAAAGTCTGACTTCGCCTGTCAAAAGAGGTCAAATTTGTATTAATTAACAGTTCACCCAGGATATAAATGACCTACAATCTGATTTATTTGCAGGTAAACCAGTGGCACTTTTTGACAAAAATCATCCTGACTGGGCACCGTCTGTCAAATTGGGCCACGAGAAAATGACAGCACCTTCCCCTGCTACACATGCCAGGTATAAACGCGCCAGAAAAAGGTCATCCATCGCACTACTTGATCTCTACAGCATGGTATCTGATATACCATCTCTAGAAGAGCCCGCACCAGTCCTGGGAGCCACTGGGGAAGAAGAAGGACTGATTGAACCAGAGACTGGCACTGCAACTCAGACTGATTTGACTGGTGAAATGATTGACAAAATGTCATTTGAAATTAATAATGTAACAACAGAAAATGTTAATTTAAAAGAAAAGCTTGTAAAGTCCACCATTTCAGAGAGTACATTTAAGGGCGATGATGACCGTGTGCGGTTCTACACGGGACGTCCTACTTTTGCTATTCTAATGATGGTATACAATCTTGTGGAACTGCACATCAGTGTGAACGCTAAGAGTTCACTGTCTACATTTCAACAGTTTATACGGACACTAATGAAATTAAGATTAAACCAACCCCTGCAAGAGCTGGCTTATAAATTCAACACATCCACGTCTACAGTATCCCGTGTGCTTACCTTGATTATCGACGTCATGTTCAAACGTATGAGTTTCCTTTTGAAGTGGCCATCTCGAGAGGAACTCCAACTGACAATGCCTATGGATTTCCGCACTCATTTTGGTACTAAAGTGGCTGTTATAATAGACTGCTTTGAAGTTTTCATTGACAGGACATCAAATGTAATGGCACGGGCTCAGACTTGGTCAAACTACAAACATCACATCACCATAACATGTCTGATAGGAATCTGTCCGCAGGGTGTTATATCATTAATTTCAAGGGCAAGGGGTGGCAGGTCCAGTGATAAGCATATTACAGAAAATGGTGGCTTCTTAGATAACATTTTGCCTGGTGATTTGATTTTGGCAGACCGAGGTTTCAATATAAGTGACTCAGTGGGTTTCATGTGTGCTGAGGTTAAGGGGCCTGCATTCATGAAAGGCCGGAAACAATTATCAATGAAAGATGTTATTGACACAAGGAAAATTGCTAACGTGCGAATTCATGTTGAGCGTGTCATAGGATGTGTAAGGCAGCGATATACCATTTTGGGAGGACCAATTCCTATAGATTTGTTACTTTCTAAAGATGTAGATGGGATTACATTGATGGATAAAATAGCTGAAGTGTGCTGTGACCTGAATAATTTGTGTGACACTGTAATACCCGTTGATTGAGCCTTTACATCAATCAACCCATATCAGATTTAAAAATATGACATGTTTGTATTGTAACTAGTATTACATTATTGTCAATGTTGTACTTGGTCAATTAAATGTCTTGATAATCAGAGCAGTGATTTGGGGTTTGGTTGTGTAGGGGAATGTTTGAAAAATTATTTAAGCTGTTTTCAGGCATGGAAGGTTAATGTTTTTCTCTCAAGTTTTCTATTGTCACATTGGACACATCCCAAATTGCTTGAATGTGGTTTCAGACCTGCACTGCACACTGTAATAGTACTGGTAGAATATTTAAGCTTGGGTAAATACATTTTGAAAAAAACAATTGAAAGGGCAAAGTATTATATTTATTACAGGTTTCCAAGTTACCCATTGAAAAAGAGTGAAAAACAAGTACATGCTCCTTGAACTGTACGCTGCAGAGATCACCTCACATAACAGAGATAGATTAACATTGTGTCCATATTACAGTTTCTTTCAATGCTAAAACACATTTTTTGAAAGCAGGGCTTATTTTCTCAAAACACTAAACACAATTCACAAAACCATACACACAAAGTGCAAAACACCTACTGCAGAATGAAGCACTGCACCCAGAACTACAGAAACACCAAAGTTTTGCACCAAATGGCACACACTTCATTTATAGTACAAGACATTTTGTAAAACCAACTACACACCATCGTGCTCAAGCACACTCATCTTTTATGGCGTTTGATATAGAGAATTCTGCAAATAAAGATTGTTCAAGTCTCCAAAATATGTGCAGAAACACAAATATACTGTTGTTATACTTTACTTTTCAAAAAGTGGAAAGTTGAATTGCAAATTGGGTGCAGAGCTGAACATGTGTTTAGAGTTTTGGATATTTGAGCTGAGGTTTTGCTCTTTCAATGTCAGTTTAAATAATGATGCTTTGTGTCATTTTAGTGTGCACAACTTTTTTTGGTTGTTACACTTACATGTTCTTTATATAGATTTGATGTAAAAGAAACATGTTTAATCAAATAAATATATACACTGTCATTCAGATCGATTAGTACTTCTGTTTCTTTTGAGAGGGGACATGCTGATGACATTTGTCACAATACCAGCTTCCTTTGGGGGCAACTGTTATACCAACACATTCAAAATGAAACCAGGTAGTTTCACAATTTGTGTTATCACATGCTGCCACCTGGATTTTGATATTGTCCATGTTGCAGTCGTTTCGCTTCATCAAGCACAGCATATCTGGAACACATACAAAGACACAAATTAGCCCTACATAACTCCATAAATCCTACATTAGATAGTATTAATGTGATTTAATGAACGTACCATTGCTGTTCTTTGGGCGTGATAACGGTCATCATCCTCAGCTGTCCTACGACGAAACATGTCCATAGCGTGTGCTTTTCGTGGTCCAGTCCTTTTGTTAAGGCTTCTTAACCGCGATCTGTATTTGTGGCTGAGTTATTGGCTTAAATAACTCAGCACCAAAACCACAACTTCAGTCAACTCCATAGCGTGTCTGACTGAGGTCGGAAGCTAAACAGAAGCATACAGCGGAAGCGGAAGTTTTTTTTCTTCTTCTCTCGGTTTTTTGGCGGATTGCAACTTTAAGGTGCATACCGCCATAGATATATATAAACACTAGATGGCTCATGGGAGATTTTCCAGCGTAGCTCACTGGCCGCCATCTTGCTACAGTCAACAGCTACTCTGGTACGCGCTATGGTAGCTGTTGTAAGGTGAGTGATCTGCACAAAAATACTCTTAACTCGCTGAAATCTTGACTGATTTACAAACGGTTTGGTTTATTATAAACATTATTAGCATGGCTATGATACAGGATGCTTGGACATGTTGAAATAGCAGCTTTTCTTTGTGTATGTGTGGTTGTATTTATTAGCTGGCTAATAACAAGAGGCTGTGAGTGAGACCTAGTATTACAAAGTTGACCAAGAACCCGTGGAATCACCTTTCACGTGTAAGATATGACAATATTATGACTATAATTAGGATAATCGTTAATTACGTAGTGGATGTATGTACATTACAAGTTCTGCTACACAGGATCAGTGGGGCTATGTGAGATAATAGTATTGCAAGATTGTTGTTGACCCAGCCTCTTTAGAATATGTTGCTACCATTTCTTTACACAATTATTTAATGTTTCTTTTGGACACCTTTTTTATAACTCTTAGTGTAGTTGTCTTATTCTTAAAGTATACATACATACATACAATTACCCCAAAAATATGATAATTTCGGTGGGTATTTTTGTCCTTACCCTTAATGTTAAAGGAAAGAAGGGAGGAAAATGTTGACAATAATTTATATATCTGGCTACCTTTCTCATGTTTTTAAGGTTTCCCAAAACCGGAGAGAGGAGGAGGCAGTGGGAAGTTGCCCTAAGAAGGCAGGACACTGCTCTGCAGTGAGCACTTTAGTTGTGAGGACTTTGACAGGACGGGGCAGACTGTCCGGCTTAAAGATGGTGTTGTGCCAACAGTATTCAACTTCCCAGCTCATCTTCAAAGGGTATGTGTATCATTGGCCAACAAGAATTCAAGGTGTATAAGATTGGTATATAAATATGTGATTAAATGTCACACTTTAGTTTTTCTTTCTGCAAGTTTAGGAATAAATAATGTGTTGTGTATTACAGCACATTTTAAACACTCAAAATGTCTTTAATTATGTTTATTTTAGCCGGAAGCAACAAGAAGCACAACCACTTCAAGAAGAGCGGAAGATGAACCTCAGCCTAATGTTGTGAGTATTCTGAATGTGGCCAAGACCAGAGAGATGGTCATTGATTTCAGGAGGGTGAGGACGTCTCCTCCTCTACCCCTGTGCATTCTGGGAGAGGATGTGGCTGTTGTGGAGGACTACAAATACCTGGGAGTGCACTTAGACAATGGGCTGAACTGGAGGATCAACACTGACGCTATGCACAAGAAGGGGATGAGCAGACTCTATTTTCTGAGGAAGCTGAGATCCTTCAACGTATGCAGCAAGATGCTGGAGATCTTCTATCAGTCTGTTTTGGCTAGTGCACTCTTCTTTGCTGCGGTCTGCTGGGGGGGCAGCATCAGAGCCGGTGACACCAGCAGGATCAATAAACTGATCAGGAAAGCTGGGTCAGTCATCGGCATCAAGCTGGACCCCTTTGAAGCTGTGGTGGAGAGGAGGACATTGAACAGGCTGTTGTCCATCATGGATAACCCCATCCATCCTCTCCACCTGCAGCTGGACAGTCAACGGAGCTCCTTCTCCAACAGACTGCTGCAGCTCCACAGTGCCATAACTCTGTACAACAAATCACCTCTGGCTGGAAGATAACTCTGCTCCATAGTTTATCTTGAATATTACCACGTTGTACATTTTACACATATAATCTGTTCAATATTTAAAGGTGGGGTAGGTAAGTTTGAGAAACCGGCTCGAGATACACTTTTTGTTATATTCCATGGAATGCTCTTAACATCCCGATAGCAATGAATATCTTAAGTGCTTTGACAAAAAATCCATAAAGAAATATCATCTGTGGAAGCTGTAGTACTGTAAAAAGCACGACCAATCATCTGAGCCGGCCCGGCTAAAGTAACTGGATGGCCTACCTGCCTGTCAGCCTTCCATCTGTGCACAAACTTATCTCGTGCCCTCATTGGTCATGTGCGCGTTCGTGTGTGTTGGAGGAGGGGCTCTGTAAGGAAGTGGCAGATTTTTTCCGGCTGTGTATTTTCAAATTCTAGCGATCTCGAGCTGGTTTCTCCAAAATTACCTACCCTACCTTTAACATTAATATTCCATATGCCTTATATTTATGTATATGTATATTAGATATATATAATATCCTGCCAAACTCAACATGTATATTATTTTCCTCTTTCTTTATTTTCTTTATTTTTCTTGCTTATTTCTAATTTATTGTAAAATGCCTTTTCCCTTATGCTGCTGTAACTAAAAATGTTTTCCCAAATTGGGATCAATAAAGTACCATCTTATCTTATCTTATCTTATTTGCATGTGGAATGTCACTAACAAATGAGAGCATCATATGGCTTGTCATATTAAATCCTTTATCTCGGTGGTACCCAGGAAGGTCTATGATGGTGTTACTAGGAGAGCGCAATATCATTTGAGGTGGTACTCTGTGTAAAAAGTTTGAGAACCACTGGCCATCTCACTTGCTCTATGTCACTCATACACTTGAATAAACATGTGCAAACATTGAAACTACACCCAGGGGTTGGCAACCTTTACAATCAAAATAGCCATTTTTGTCCAGAGCCTCAACACATATTTTTGGATTTAGTGAGATATCAGCCGGGGTAAGACAAACAACAGTAAATGGACTACAGAAGGACACAAAATGACTACAAGAACTCAGCGCACCGTGCTGTGAAGTGGTAACGTATTTCAAAGGTTCTGGATTTGTTTACAAATCTAGAAACTAAATACAAAACTAGGACGATATGAAGATCTCATGTCAAAAATAATTGTGATAAATGAGACAGAACTGGCCTGTCTGTGGGCTCATATTATGTTGGTTTGGTTCTTCTGATAAAGGTGTGAATATCTAAATAATATACCACCATATGCTATTGTCATTAGTTGTGTCCCTGTTCTTCAAGCTAAGGCATTGCTAAATTAACAACTCTTGGCTTACAGAGTGGTAACATGAGACCGATTTTTATATATAAAATATAAATATATTTTAATTTTATAATTTATTTTAAATATTAACAATATAATAAAATAAATGGAAATATATACACCGGCAAATATTTAATATAAATACCTTGTGTGTGTGTATAGCTATTGCTTTATCTGCTTAATGTTATTTTCATATGAAAGTCCATGATTATAAGTATGCAGTATCATAACTACATCTTTGATGTTTATAAAAAACCAAACCGTTTGAAAATTGGTTGAAAATTGAGCAAGCTATGGTTATTTAAATAGTAAACCATAATGTTATGAATGAGAGCACTGCCTGTACCAAGATGGCGGCCATGTGGCAACGTCGGTCTCCATTGGCCAGCAGCGCGGGTGAGTCATCTAGTGTTTATATATATCTATGCATACCGCCACCTACTGTACTCACCGTGAAGTTGTTTGCGGCCTGCCAGGAAAACCAAAGCAGAAGAAGAAGAAGTGACGTCAGCGGCTCATTTGCCTAATCCACCCCCAGGAACTCATTTTGGTGTGAACGCGATCTGCTTTAGTTCGTCAGAACTAAAAGAGCTCTCATGAACTAAAGTTCTCATGAACTACTGTGGGAAAAGTACTTGGTGTGAACACGCCTTATGGAGACATTTTTCTTCATCAGTACCCACAGACATGTTGGCGGCAGCCCAATACTCTGAGAATGCAATACCTGAAAAATAAAATACAAAAATATTATTGGATTGTTGACTTTTTAGAACCACCAATATTTTGGTCCAACTTTACTTTCAAATACTGATTGTTTACACAACCAGTGGGTGGTCAGCTCTTGTCATATTCCTATGCTAGGTAGCACATAACAGAAGCTGACAACCAAGAATAGGTTCACAACTTTTGTAATTTAAATATATTGCAATATATAATAAAGCTTTATTTATAAAGCCCTTTTCATAAAGCACGTGCAGCTCAAAGTGCTTTACAAAATGGCACACATCACAAGTTAAAAATAAACCACAAGAAATTCCACTCAGATCAGATGTTAAGATCTTTACAGTTACATGCAGCATAGCAACAACATATAACATTTTAACAGGTTAAGAGACACGAGGAGGTAAAAGGTATGATAATAAAAATAAATAATAAGACACAAGACTAAGTTAATTGATGCAACAATATAAAACCCTATAAAATAAAGTAAACATATAGATATAGGTACAACAAAAATAAAAGCTGGTGTTTAAAAATGTCCACTGAGTTAGCCTCTGATATTTCTTAGCGTAGTGGATAAAAGCAGCCTCACCCATTTTATTTTGGGGGACTTTAGGGATATTTAAAAAGCCAGCTGAAGAGGCCCTCACGAAATATTTACTCACTTTTCCAGCTATTACAGCCACATCTCCTTGATATGCAACGCAAACGTCGCGGATCCACCCGGATGTGAACTGGTTATGTGCCTCGAGTCCTTTGTACGCTTTCATTTCCTCCATGGTGTACAATGGAATAGGCGAAAAAACCAGGTAGTTCACGATATCACAGTAGGAAAGTGAAGGCCATGAATTTATATCAGTGCTGTAATCCTTAACGGGAATCAAATAAGGGTCCACCGAACCAATCGACGCACATTTGTCTCTGTAAACGGTCTTATCCTCCGGATTTAGTGATTCGTAGTAGCCTTTCATTTTCGCCATTTTTGAACGCTCCCGCCAGTAGAGTGGTACTCCAAGATGTCTGACGCAAAATCCCGTGACGTCATTAGGAAGCCTCTATACCACGGCCTGTCGTGAGCTATTGCGATATTGACCCAATTTGTGTTATTTAAACCTGAAAAGGAGATGGCATTGTTTTTGTTACTTTCATTGCGATTGTATACATGTCTTAACGTAACTTCCTGTTTTATATAGACATGCTTTCATCTTGAAGGCGACTTTGCGCTATCAGCAGGAAGTTACTGTTCCCAACGCAAAAACTTGACGGAGAAAAAGAACGGAGATAAAGTACAGACATTAACGGAGATATCAACATTTAAATACGGCGATATCAAAAGATAAAGTTTACATTTAAGTATTAGCAAGAGGCACAAGGTTAGTGTTAACTGTAAACATGTGGTTTGTGTTTCAATTCCTTTATATACTGTATTATAACTTTCAGTGGTGATTCTAGAGTCTGTGGGGGCCCTAGGCAAACATTCACTGGGGGCCCCTCGAACCAGCTTTTCATCACCACGCAGCGGTGCGGAGCAAGGCAACGAAACTTAAGATAAGAAGCAGCATTTTACTGTGCGCTATGCATGGGGCCGCCTTGAAGGGGTTTCCCGATATGTCGTTGCAGTAAATGAAAGGGTGTTTCATGTTGTCGTTGCTTGGACCTTCTTAATCTACCTTCTTTGGGGGCCCCTTCTGGTCCGGGGCCCCAAGCAGTTGCCTGCATTGCCTGTTCGCAAAGGTGCGCCTCTGATAACTTTGCTAACTATTTGAGGTTCACTTGTTTAATGGTATTCTAAAGTAATGCTCATATGGATGTAGCTTAAATGTGTTTGTTGTGTTGTGTCTTTGTGTAGCTCTTACGTTGGTTTTTGGAATTTTCAATAAATTAGAAATCATCAGTCAAGTGTACGACCATCTTTCGGAGGGATATGCTACAGTTTACATAATAAAATATCGATAATTGGCGTCCGTGTATCGATACAATATCGCCACGCAAAGTATCGCGATACTGTGCTGTATTCTTTATTTCCCCCACCCCTAGTGTTTAATGAGACCTCTATGTGTGGACCTGGGACCGGCCACAATTACCTCATTCACACCAACGCAACTCCGGTTCAAGCTCCGTGCTAGAGCTTTTCAGGTTCAGAACCGGTTCTTCGGTTTAGCTCCGGCTCTTTTCACACCGCCCAGAGTCCGACTGGTGCTGCGTCATTGCGTCATCGTTTGCGTCATGACGTAACCGTTTGCGTGCCTGCTTCATAAAACCAAACCGCGCGGAAACCCCTCACAGCTCACACCGACAACAACAACAATGGCCGATTGTGCTCCAGCTTCCTCTGTACCTCTTCGGAAGACCAGATTCTCAGTAGGTAGCTGGTCTCTTCAGTGGACCACTGCTGCTTGTTAAGTTTCTCCATCGTTGTGTACAAACTGGATAAAACGCAGGCTTTTTGTTGTTGTTCAGGAGTTGATCCCGCCCCTGCCCCTGCCCCCGCCCCCGCCTCGACGTGGTTTCAATTTATCAAAAATATACAATTTTATTTAGCACAAGTCAATAGTTTAAAATGCAGT